TGCTTCTGTTTTCCCCCTTCTACACTCGCACACACTGGGCAAGGCAGAAGGAGCAAAAGGGAGATTAATATAAATGGAGATCCAGTGTCATGGAAAGCCTGCTGATCTTATGGCCAGTGCTTCCTTTTCTTGCCACCCACAGCAAATGATTTTGCTTTGATTCACTTGCAACTTCTCCGTGTGGCAAGTCCTCACATCACTTCTCATAATGACACTTTGTCATTCACAAAGCAAATATGACTGTCCTGATGGTCTCTGTTATACAAGCGGTCATTCGGGCCAAATAACAGCATTTCCTTTGTGTGGCTGTTGCTTATGCTGGCAGTAGTACAGAATGAATCACAAGCATACCCTCCAACATTTCTCTGACGAAAATAGGGATGTGCTATCTATTATTATTATTATTAATATTTATAACCCCACCCATCTGACTGGGTTGCCCTATCCACTCTGGGTGGCCTCCAACATACAGTGGTACCTCGGGTTAAGTACTTAATTCATTCCGGAGGTCCGTACTTAATCTGAAACTGTTCTTAACCTGAAGCACCACTTTAGCTAATGGGGCCTCCTGCTGCTGCCGCACAGCCGGAGCACAATTTCTGTTCTCATCTTGAAGCAAAGTTCTTAACCTGAAGCACTATTTCTGGGTTAGCGGAGTCTGTAACCTGAAGCGTATGTAACCTGAAGCGTATGTAACCCAAGGTACCACTGTATATAGAAACATAATAAAACATTAAAAATTGGAAAAAAACTTACCTATACAGGGCTGCCTTCAGATGTCTTCTAAAGGTTGTATAGTTACTTGACTCTGGGGTCGCATAATTCCATAGCCTCCAACATTTCTCCGATGAAAATAGGGACGTCTTAAGGAAAAAGAGGACATTCTGGGATCAAATCAGAAACCAGGATGGTTTCTGTAAATCTGGAAAATAGGGGCAGCTAAAGGACTGCAAATCTCTCCAGTTTTCCTCCTCCTCCTGGGTTTTCAGAAGGATGGAAAATAGGGGCACTTGGAGGGTCTGCACAATAAAGAATGCTATACATTTCAGATGCTCAATGCCATTCTGCGTTGGCACCCACCATGCTGTATCATATCCCAACAGCACAATCCTAACCATATCTACTCAATCCTATTGAATTCAATGGGGCTGCTAGGTAAATGGGGTGAAGATTGCAGCCTTAGTTATTCAGAGGTGTTCCTTTCCTTGAACTATTTTCTAGCACAGTGCCAGTGAAATGCTTGTGCCAGTTCTTGTACCTAGAGAACCAGAAGCTTCATGTACACAGATGAGCAACTTCAACAACACCTATTCAGGAGTGCGCCTGCAGCTATAAACCTTCCATCATTAATACATTTGCTTTGTTTGACCTAATTTATAAATGACTTAAAAAGGGGCAGGGGGAACCTGAAGCATAGAATTATTTACATAGAATAATATAAATATTCATAAGGAGAAACATAAGGTGAAATCAACAGACTTCAAAAGCAAGCAGCCCTAATAAAATCACCAAAATATGATCTTTATTTTTTCTTTAGGAAGATTTATAGACCACTTAATCAAAACACACACAGAATTCCCCTTACATACCATCCTTCTGAAAACCCAGGAGGAGGAGGAAAACTGGAGAGATTTGCAGTCCTTTAGCTGCTCCCCTCAAAAGCCCCCATTGGCAGATGGCATGGAAGAATGGCAGGTGCACAGGGAAGAGGTGGCCTGCAGATGGGGGCATACCTCTGTATGTGCCTTCTTACCCCTCAACCTCTGATATTAATGAAATTGTGGGTATGTGTTCCTTTTGGTGTCCCCACATCCTACCTGATTTTTTTCCTGTTTGTAAGCACAAAATAGGACGCAGGTGGCACTGTGGTCTAAACCACTGAACTTCTTGGGCTTGCCGATCAGAAGGTTGGCAGTTCGAATCCCTGTGACGGGGTGATCTCCCGTTGCTCTGTCCCAGCTCCTGTCAACCTAGCAGTTCGAAAGCACACCAGTGCAAGTAGATAAATAGGTACCGCTCCAGCAGGCGTTTCCGTGCGCTGCTCTGGTTCACCAGAAGCTGCTCAGTCATGCTGGCCACATGACCCGGAAAGCTGTCTATGGACAAATGCTGGCTCCCTCGGCCTGTAAAGCAAGATGAGCGCCGCAACCCCCGAGTCGTCTGCAACTGGACTTAACTGTCAGGGGTCCTTTACCTTTTTTTTTAGCACAAAAAAATAGGCAAGATAGGATGCCAACAGAGTGGATGCTGCCCGCTGATTAACACAATAGGTGAACTATGCCAGTCCCTCTCGCCCAGTGGTAGCTGGCATACCGGCACTAACAACAACATTTATGTGCCGCACCTCACAACCATTGGCTCTATCCAAGCATCTTGCTGCTACCTGGGTCACAAGTGCATAAAGCAGAAGAAAAGTTCATTTGGTTGAAGGGAAGCCAGTCACGCTGACTAGCTAATGGGCAATCTTGAGGCAATGCTTATGAACTTCACATGAGCCTCTTTAGTCCTGACAACATCAGCACGCCTAGATATCCCTGAACGGGAGCGAAATTGGGAAGCGGAGGCGCTTACCTGTCACATCATGCCAAGTTTGCTTGGTTAACAGGCAGCATCTCAAAGAAAGCTGCCACAGAACTGTGAGGCATCAGCTGTCAGGCAGGCATGTGGTGTGGATATTTATCATATATCCCAAACATACGTGCGTTAGATATTTGAGGGAGCCTCAGTAGCAAACATCTGAAACCTGACAGCTCCCCCCCACTGCAAGATGGTTATTTTTATAAAGCACTTCTAAGCATTCTTTTCCTGAGCTTTTAAATATGTATAAAGAAACTGAGCACTTTCATATTTTTGTATTATTTTCGGTCATGGCCAATTAATAGTTTCATACTAATCAAACCACTTCAGTGGTTTTCACATCAGCTAGAGAATTTATGTCACAAAGGTAACTAACAAATATACATATATCTTAAAAACCAATGAAAAGTCAGTGGGTGATTTTATATGTGTGCTTGAACTTGACAGATCCTTTAGAAAATTTACAGATGATTCAACAATAGAGTGACACAGTTGTATCTGTCAAGTGTGAACGACAGTGATGAGTCAAGTGCTTGGGAAGTTTAGGCCCATTGGTGTCTAACAAACACCAAGGGAAAACCTCCTTTGCTCTACAGAATTCTCAGGAGAAGTCTTGAAATTTTAACATGCATGCCAAGTTGTCATTCCAGAAGTTCACTGACAGGGAAAGTCTGAACACAAAGATGTTTATATGCAATTTAGCAGGGGGTCGAGAAGAAGAACAATAATAATAATAAAAAAACAAGATGAAGGAAGGAATATGTTACAAAAATAAAATCACTGCAAGATTTCTAAAAAATATATTAAAAAATCAGAGAATTTCAGGATTTTGTTGCTGCTGTCTCAAGTTTATTTATTAGAAGACTACTAATAATGAGATTAGAGGGACACGGGTGGTGCTGTGGGTTAAATCACAGAGCCTAGGACTTGCCAATCAGAAGGTCGGCGTTCGAATCCCCGCAACGGGGTGAGCTCCCGTTGCTCGGTCCCAGCTCCTGCCAACCTAGCAGTTCGAAAGCACGTCAAAAGTAGATAAATAGGTACCGCTCCAGTGGGAAGGTAAACGGCATTTCCGTGTACTGCTCTGGTTCGCCAGAAGTGCCTTAATCATCATGGCCACATGACCTGGAGGCTGTACGCTGGCTCCCTCAGCCAATAAAGCGAGATGAGCGCCACAACCCCAGTCGGCCACGACTGGACCTAGCGGTCAGGGGTCCCTTTACCTTAATAATGAGATTGCTCTGACTCAAAACCTAATGCCTTAACTCTGAAGGTATGTTGTATGGACCAGGCAGTCCTGGTTTCAAATTCCTATGCAGTCCTGAAGTTCCCTGAGTGACCTTGGGTCAATCATTCCCATGGCTTCACCTCCTTCACAGTGTTGTTAGCAAGATAAAATTGAATTGGTGGATGAGAAAACAGTGTGCACTTCACTGAGTTCCTTGGAGCAAAGGGGTTGGGTGTCTTTTTTAATGACAGAATTGTATCATATATTTTGACTCTGTCCCCTACCCCAGAGATGCTCTCCATTGTCTCTCAAGACAGGTGGATCCCAACAACCAACAAAAGCTTGCTGCCATTGAGTTGAGTGACCCTGAGCAATTTTTCTTTCCCACCTGTAGAAAAGATAGATGATTTGTGCTTAAGGTGTTACGTTTTGAAATGCTCAGTCTCCCCAAATTCTGCTGATTGCCTAGCAGCCAATTGCTTGATTTCTATAACTCAGCCACAGGGTAGGCATCACAAGCATTATAGTTGCCCCAAAATACGGAAGTGCCATCATGGAAATTAGCTAACAATTGGTCTCTCAGAAATCCTGACTGGTGGAAATCTGAAAGAACAGAGTATAAAACAGAAAAGGGCCCTTTTCCTGTATGTTTCAAATTTAGCATTGTTGGGAGTTTCACTCGGAGCTCCCAGCCGACCTCAAGGCGCCAAAAAAATAAAAATCTGGAGTGCCTGCCATCTACATTTTCTGAAATTTAAATTCTAGTCTCTGTATGAGTGCTCAGTGTGCAGGCTCTCCAAGAGCATCAGTTTTAACTCTGTCCCTTAGATGAAAGGTTTAAATATGTGATTAGGGGCCCATCCCATACTATATTTTCTTCAGAAAGGATCAGAGAAGAGAAAGTCAGGCCGCCCAGAGGAAAGTCCATACTGCACCATAGGTTTTAACACTCCCACTTAACAAAAGTGCACAATCCTGAAACAGCTTTGAAGTAATTCTTTTTTTTAAAAAGCCATGCCTCCCTTGCTATCGCTTTTCAGAGAAACCTTTGCCCTTTCTCTGAATGGCTACCACTATCGTAACATTCATAAAGCTGTGTTATGACTAGAAAATAATGGACACTCCGTCTGTGAATGATACATTAATCAAATACTCTGCATGTTGTCCCCCCCCCCCCATTTTGTCGTTTCTAAAGGAGCAGGAGAAGAGAAAGGGAAACATACTGCAGAGCCGGTGCAACCCGATGGTCCGTGTGATACAGAAAACATTTCAAGTAATGACAGTAAGTTTCCAAATAGCTTTGCTGTTGCCAGATAAATGGCACATTCAGACGAGTGAAGGCTGCATTACAGTTCACCCTTTGATGCGCAGGTAGAATATGATATCATCAAGTCTTCAAAGGTAGCCTCCTAAAAGCCTGGGTTGTGCAACGGCTTGGCAGCACTAATTGCTAGCCACAAGGAATGCTGCACTGCCATCAGTTACGCAACTGTAATTTCAATGGGACTTAATGCATGACCAATCAAGCCTAGGATTGTAGCTCTGACATGCCCATGCCAAGAACTCCATTGCACAGCCGAGAAGCACAGCCGTAGAGGAAAATATGCACGAGCAGACAAAAGCATTTCGTGTTTTTGTTCTCTCTTCCCTCCCAGCTCCACAGTCTCCTGGTGCGCTTTGAAAATAAGTCAGCCACTATTAGAGGATAAGGATTAAAATTAGCTGCGTTTGAATTTAGAGAATGTCATCATTCCTTTCTGTCAACCATATCTCTAAACAGAGTCTCTCTCACTCACACACATACATTTCAGTTAGCTCATTCCAAACACCTTTGGGCTGTTTAGTCAGTTTGAGGTTCTGTCTTACAGAGATATGTGCATTATAAATGCTTGTTGTAAACACAGGTGGATTGTCCTTTTGCTGCATGTCATAGGTAGTTTCCAAGCTCTTAAAATATATATTGGAATAAAACATACCCAGCAGTCTATTTTTGGCTATTATCCCAGTTGAAGAATATTTCTCCTCAGCCCCTAACAACACACACACGTTTTCTGTGGTGCTGCAGATATCCAAAGCTTGAGCATGGCAACTCAACATGTTAAACCACGTATTTGTCTTACCCAGTTTCTTTTGGCTTAGACATAACTAAGTTTTCATTTAATTTGAGTAGTTGCATTTTGAGCATGATTCATCTAAATACATTACAAAAGATACATTGGGGGGGTGTATTTCAAGCTGCTCCTGAGCATGAATGGTGACTTACATGATTACTATTGTGCTTTATTTCATTTGGTGTACACAAACATATTTTACGGGACGCGGGTGGCGCTGTGGATTAAACCACAGAGCCTAGGACTTGCTGATCAGAAGGTCGGCGGTTCGAATCCACACGACAGGGTGAGCTCCTGTTGCTTGGTCCCAGCTCCTGCCCACCTAGCAGTTCGAAAGCACATCAAAGTGCAAGTAGATAAATAGGTACTGCTCCAGCGGGACGGTAAACGGCTTTTCCGTGCGCTGCTCTGGTTCGCCAGAAGCGGCTTAGTCATGCTGGCCACATGACCCGGAAGCTGTATGCCGGCTCCCTCGGCCAATAAAGCGAGATGAGTGCCGCAACTCCAGAGTCGGCCACGACTGGACCTAATGGTCAGGGGTCCCTTTACCTTTCAACATATTTTACACACCATGCATCAAACTTTGCCATGGTCCTGAAATCTATCTGTATATTTATTGCTTTTATACTTCAGAAGTATAGTTGTCTCCTAGGCATCTAAGTTAGCCATTGCAAGCTACACGTGGGATGCAGCTCTGAAGAAGGGAAGCATGACCCCAGGGGCTCTTTGCCTTTCACACCCTCGGTAGCAAATGTGCCCTTCCAAAGACAAAGCTATCATTTACATGGGTAGCGAGGAAAGTGAAGGCTTCCTCCTGTTCCTCCTCCTCCTCCCTTTTCTATTATTGCTGAACGGTGGCTGCTGCTGTGGCCCCACTTGCACCCCTCTCCTCCTGGAGCCAATCCTGACACAGGATTGTGGTTGACAGCAGCAAGGAGGAACGGCCACCACCATTAGAGCATCTGTAGGTCCTACTTTACAGCAGTCCTCTATTAAAATAAGTCCTCTGTTTTACGGGCTCTTCAGTCTATGATAGCATAAAGAGGGAAATCAGGGGACTTGAGTTGCCCATCAGCAGTTAGCAGGTACACCGGTTAACTGGTCACTGTCTTCCCCACTGTAGTGAGGTGCATTGCATTTCTATTTAAAGGTAAAGGGACCCCTGATCATTAGGTCCAGTTGTGACCGACTGCAGCGCTCATCTCGCTTTATTGGCCGAGGCAGCCAGCGTGCAGCTTCCGGGTCATGTGGCCAGCATGACTAAGCCGCTTCTCGCGAACCAGAGCAGCGCACAGAAATGCCGTTTACCTTCCCGCCGGAGTGGTACCTATTTATCTACTTGCTCTTTGACGTGCTTTTGAACTGCTAGGTTGGCAGGAGCAGGGACCGAGCAACGGGAGCTCACCCCGTGGCGGGGATTCGAACCGCCAAACTTCTGATCAGCAAGCCCTAGGCTCTGTGGTTTAACTCACAGCGCCACCTGTGCCCCTTGCATTTCTATTTAAGGAACAGCAACTACTTCTAAAATATGCATTCATACTGTCCCCTCTTTTTTCGGCAATGCATCCCCCCCCCTTTACATGATGCTCAAGTGGCCATCTGAATTCATCTGCCTACTCTGTCCCTGCTTCCATTTTTGTAGAACAGTGGCAGGCAGCAAAGGCAAGACGAATCGGCAGCTCTGCAAAGGGGCCTCAAAGAGAGCCTCAAAGTATTATTAACCCATTAATTATAATACTTTTTATACGGGAGAAGTTCTTTTCTTGTACTGAAAATATTCCATGTAGTTGAGATTGGCCGTCTATGGAAAGCTAAGAGATTTCATGAAAGATTACTGCAGTAGCCTTCTTTGTAATAACACCGCAGAAATAAAGACGCATGTTTCACTTTTGAGTGTGTCTAAGGAGACATTTGTTCCCCTCCGAGGTTGCATCTCCCATGTATTCTAACTTATGCCACAGATTTAGGGTTGGGAGAGCACACCTCCCCCCTTTAAATCTGTAGAACAAATAAAAAATGAACGAATAGGTTCAATCCAAATCGCATATATCATTAAGGGAAATTTAATAGAACAGTGCCATCAAGCATCAGGCCAGCAGCTGCAGCAAGGTTTCTATGTGAGCATTGCCTTGATTTAAGTTTGGTGGAACATTTGGCAGGAGGAAAAAATGGGCTTATTCTGGATTCTGAGGACCATGTTGGTGCAGCACTTATTTTTCTACATATCTATAGAGTGTGCAGTATTATTTAAGCCTTGAACAAAGTCTGTGCACCACTGGTAAAAGGTTTAGTATTGTAGCCACACACAACCTGACAAGTTTGAAAGTTGAATACAGATGAACAATTCACAAGCAATTCAACAGACTCTTTGCAGGTGTGTTGATATAACAAGAGTGACTCAGAAGCAGACATGCTTCATAGCATATGACCAGCATATTTACATTTTTTTGTCTTCTTTATTTTTAAACTTTCATTCAGGTGTGCATTTCTTTCAGGCAATTTCAAAACTTTCACACAAGAGCTTTCCAGGGAAACTCCCAGTATCAGCAATGGATGTACCAAAACAGCTTCTCCCAGAGCATTAGTACAGGACTTTTATAGGGACAAGTTATTAAAGCTTATGAAAGGTCTCATTCAATCCTGCAGGAACAAATCAGAAGAAAGGCTGTGAAAGTATATTCAGAAGTACTAAAATCTCAGAGACCATATGTTTCTCTTATCCATTTTACAGTCCATTTACAGTCTTTGGTTCTTTCTAATGGCAAATAACTGTATTATAATAACTGCATTTGTTGCTTTTGCAAAACTACAACAATAGGCATTATGGTGAGGGAGCTGAGGTTTAGGACATTCTATATAAAAGAAGCCTGAACTATAGAAAGGTTAGAGCTCAGGTTCCTTTTTAATTTCGACCCCTTTCTGTTTGCTTGGCATATGAGTAGAAACTGCCCACAATACCAAAGCAGATAACTGACTGGTGTGACTGCAGAATCAGATTTCAGCCGTGTTGTGTTAGTTCAGGTTTGTTTTGGTCTGTGTCTCTCATTGAAGGGGATTTATCCCCATTTCCCAGCTATTGAAAATAAGACAGGACCAAACATAAGTATTGTTGATGGAAATGACGAATGTCTTCCGAGACTGCCTTAATAGAAACTTTCTCTTGCCCATGATTTCCCTGTCCGGCTAATGATTCACATCTCCAGTTCCCATTGGAAAAGAGATTTGAGTGGATAGTCACCTTTCTGTATGAAAGGCGTATGAAATTTCATTTGAAGGCCAAACCCAGTTTATATCCTTGCCTGGATATGTATGGCATCCAACTTATTTATTTATTTATTTTTATTTGGACCAGTTATATACCGCTTGTAGTTAAACAAAACTCTAAAGCGGTTTACAACATAGGTTAAAACAACTTAAATACACAGCAAATACCAAAACAAAAAGGAGAGAATTTCCACGTTCTAGAAAACTAAACAAAATAGAGCATCCTTGTCAGTATCAAAATAAACATTGCCAAATAAAAATCAGCTGCAATAAAATGCAAGGAAAATCCATAGTAAAGGACTAAATTCAAGCAAAATAATTAAAAATGAAAATGAGCTAAAAAGTATAAACTTCACCTTTTCAAAAAAACAAAACCTGATTCGCAATGAAGCAAAAGAAAATCAACTCATTCTTCCCCACCATCGTACATCAACCAATCATCCCATTAAATGAATCAATCCAGTTAAATGCCCAGCTCCCTATTCTATATTTTTTCTGGTCACTATCAATAATGTGGACAGGCAACACCATTTAAAGCTGCCGCCGCTGTGCCTACGAACTTCAAGACCAGATTATTGCAATGCACTCTGCGTGGGGCTGGCCTTGAACGAAACTTGCAACTGGTCCAAATTGCAGTCGTCACATTGCTGAGTGGGGTTCCATTTAGAAACCCAGTTCCAAATTGAAAGAGTTGCATGGCCGAATTCAAACACATCAGTGTTTTAAAAGCCCCAAATGGCTTAGGCTGCAATTGTTTGAAAGATCGCCTATTTCCATTTAGACCCTCTCCACTTTTAAGATCAGCAGTGTGAGCCCTCTTAGCAGTTCCACCACCCTCAGGAGCTCTGGTGCGGTGGGAAGACTGGGAGACGGTATTCTCTTTAGCAGCTCCTAAGTTGTGAAACTCCCTCTCCACCGAGGTGCATCCAGCACCTCCATTCTGTAGTTTCTCCTGTATGTTGAAGATACACCTCTTCCCCTGGCCCATGAATGATATATACCGTAGTTTTCTGTGTATAAGACTATATTTTTTCCTAAATTTTTGAAGTTTAAAATAAAGGGTTGTCTTATACACGGATAGTGCATAGTTGTTGTTGTTGTTTAGTCGCTTAGTCGTATCCGACTCTTCGTGACCCCATGAACCAGAGCACGCCAGGCACTCCTGTCTTCCACTGCCTCCCACAGTTTGGTCAAACTCATGCTGGTAGCTTCGAGAACACTGTCCAACCATCTCGTCCTCTGTCGTCCCCTTCTCCTTGTGCCCTCCATCTTTCCCAACATCAGGGTCTTTTCCAGGGAGTCTTCTCTTCTCATGAGGTGGCCAAAGTATTGGAGTCTCAGCTTCAGGATCTGTCCTTCCAGTGAGCACTCAGGGCTGATTTCCTTAAGAATGGATAGGTTTGATCTTTTTGCAGTCCATGGGACTCTCAGTTTCCTTCAGCACCATAATTCAAAAGAATCAATTCTTCGGCAATCAGCCTTCTTTATGCTCCAGCTCTCACTTCCACACATCACTACTGGGGAAACCATAGCTTTAGCTATACGGACCTTTGTCGTCAAGGTGATGTCTCTGCTTTTTAAGATGTTGTCTAGGTTTGTCATTCCTTTTCTCCCAAGAAGCAGGCATCTTTTAATTTCGTGACTGATGTCACCACCTGCAGTGATCATGGAGCCAAAGAAAGTAAAATCTCTCACTGCCTCCATTTCTTCCCCTTCTATTTGCTAGGAGGTGATAGGCCCAATGGCCATGATCTTCGTTTTTTTTATGTTGAGCTTCAGACCATATTTTGCGCTCTCCTCTTTCACCCTCATTAAAAGGTTATTTAATTCCTTTTCACTTTCTGCCATCAAGGTTGTGTCATCTGCATATCTGAGGTTGTTGATATTTCTTCCGGCAATCTTAATTCTGGCATGGGATTCATCCAGCCCAGCCTTTCGCATGATGAATTCTGCATATAAGTTAAATAAGCAGGGAGACAATATACAGCCTTGCTGTACTCCTTTCCCAATTTTGAACCAATCAGTTATTCTATATCCAATTCTAACTATAGCTTCTTGTCCCACATAGAGATTTCTCAGGAGACAGATGAGGTGATCAGGCACTCCCATTTCTTTAAGAACTTGCTATAGTTTGCTGTGGTCGACACAGTCAAAGGCTTTTGCATAGTCAATGAAGCAGAAGTAGATGTCTTTCTGGAACTCTCTAGGTTTCTCCATAATCCAGCGCATGTTTGCAATTTGGTCTCTGGTTCCTCTGCCCCTTTGAAATCCAGCTTGCACTTCTGGGAGTTCTCGGTCCACATACTGCTTAAGCCTGCCTTGTAGAATTTTAAGCATAACCTTGCTAGCGTGTGAAATGAGTGCAATTGTGCAGTAGTTGGAGCATTCTTTGGCACTGACCCTTCTTTGGGATTGGGATGTAGACTGATCTTCTCCAATCCTTTGGCCACTGCTGAGTTTTCCAAACTTGCTGGCATATTGAGTGTAGCACCTTAACAGCATCATCTTTTAAAATTTTTAATAGTTCAGCTGGATAGTGCATAGTACATTTTCTTAATTCTGAGTCCCAAAAATTCTGTCTTATAAACAGAAAAATACGGTATATAGGAGCCACCTTATTCTTGTGACTGTAATTTGTTTTTAAAATTCTATTTTAATTGTATTAAAATTGCTGTAACCCATTGTGAGATATTAATGGAGTAAGGAAAAATAATAACAACAACATGTCTTGGGTGCCTGTGCAAATTCTTCTGCATAGAGTAGCAGCTCAGAGAATCATCCCTGTGTAGGGCTCTGTGGCCTCTGTCTCAGGAATATTTCTTCAGGAGTCAGACAATGAAGGAGCTCATGAAGAATAAAGGAAATAAAGTGAGAAGCATACTTGCTGCCTGGACCTGCATTATATAGCATTTGACTGTAGTGCTTGATAAATACTGTTTTGCCTATCAGGTCCTGCTGTGATGCAGCTATTGGATTCTCCCAATCTTGTGAGATTGGAAACGAAAACATTGCAACATCTGAATATTCTTCATGTAAAAATTGCACCAAATAACATTAGCGGTAATATCAAAGGTGGTGTTTCAAATTGGGGGTTGGAGGGTGCCAGATTCACAGCAATTATAGCAACATTCCTATTTAAAGAAAGTGAATTGGGCTTTGAGGTGTGGAACTTCTCATAGAAGTGCTAGCAGTTCGGATGAATTTGTATTACATATTGATGTTTGGAAATGTACTTATGCAATGGATTGCTCTGAAAATAAGGATATAATTCAGGCTATTAAAAATGTGCCGAAGTATAATCTTACTACTATTTAATTTGTAGTTGAAATGAATAGTCAGGCTGAAGACATAGATGAACCTACAGAATCCCAGACAGACAATTAATTTGTAGGTAAGTCAATTCACTTTTCTTTTCTGTCGTCATTTTTTCTTTTCATTAGCTGGCTCATGTATGATTCATGTATAGTCTTTCTGCAAGTTTTGGGCCTGTAGAAGCCAAGAAAAACAAAAGAAAAAGAGCATGAATCACACTTACGTTCCAGAATTCCAAAATTCAGGAGATTGTATATGTGCCAATCACACATTCAGTCCCAGCTGTCAAGGGCTGAAGATATGTATGGGCAACAGAACTCCATTATATGAGAATCTGAGTAAATAACTGGTGTGAACCAAACTTTACAGCTGCAACCATTTTCATGTTTGCAGAGAATCGGGGAAAAAAGAAGAGCTGCTACCATTTCAGACACAGCTGCTAGTTGTTTCAGAGTCATGCCAGAGTCACCTTCCATTTATCTATGTGATGAAGAAAATAATGCTTTTTCTGAATTGGCCATGGCATCACTTCACATGCAAAACGGGGGCGGGGAGAAAGATTCTGCTACAGCAGATATGCCACTACTGTGTCTGATCTTTAAATATCCTACCCATGAAAATGAGTGATCATCTCTCTATATATTACTGTATATACAGAAATGTAAAGGTAAAGGGGTTAAAGTGGTCTACGATTAACCATGAAATCCTACACATGTCCTCTCAGAAGACATTCAGTTTAATAGGATGTATTCAGAGTTAAGCATGTCTAGAATTACAGCAATGTGACCTACATATAATTTTTAAAAAAATATTAAAAATGGAAATTAGTTGCCAAATAAATCCGGTAACAGCATTCTGGATGACATCCCAAGAGAGGATGTATTCTGTGGTCACCAAGGTGGGACCCATGGGCACAGATGTGCCCAGGCAGACATTTGCTTGAACCCACAGGATTTCTTCCACCTGCTTCTTGCTCAGTTTATTCTTGAAAGAAGCATTCTATTGTTGCCAACAGAATAGGTTGTGTTGTGCCTGTGTCTGTTTCCTCGGTTGACATGCCCTACGGCCCCAAAAGCTTGGCAACCCCATAGATGTGTATGTTTTATATATCTGTATACCATCCTTCATCTGAAGATCACAGGGAGGTTCACAACATGTGTGTGTGTATTAGACCAACAAAACTCCAGCAAAAGCAATGTGAGCAATTAAGAATGATGACTTTTTTAAAGCTGGAACTCACCGGAACTCAGTTGCAGCACCTCTCAGGTGTATGCCATTGCCATTTTAAGAGAACAAGGGAGATGTTCATGGTGAGTTCTTCTAGAAAAATAGCACTGCAGAATAAGCATGTTGAATTACAGTTTAGGAAGATGATAAGCAATACATACTGGCTAGAATTAATCTTTGCAGTTGACTGGCTTTTGAACTGTCCATATATATATATATATATATGTCAGAGCTGCCCTAGGTCCCAGCTCACAAAGGACCAACGCCAGTTCGTTGTTATATAAAACAGTCTTTATTGAAGCTCAGTTTCGCTTTCACAGCCGCGGCGCGCAGCCCTACGTCTCAAACTCTAGACCGCCGAAGCTCCGTCTGAGTCTCCTCCCCCCAGACACCAGTTTAAGACTCTAGCCTTGCTCCACCTCTTCCTTTCCTCTTTCCTCCTCTGGGTCCGCCTGTCCGCTGGGGTCTTCCCCTTCCTAGACTCTTCTGACACTGAGTCCCCTGAGTCTTCCCCCTGCCTCCGGCGGGCTTTAGGACCTGGTTCCCAATCCGGGTTTTCTGCTGTCTCGCATGCCTGTACATTCGAACTTGGCGCGCGCGCCCAGCCGGTCATCTTCCTCCTGACCGTTACACTGCTCCTGTCACTGCTCCCCCCTTCGGGGAGGCTAGCTGGATCTGACCTCCCCTCCGTTCCCCCGCTCTCCAATAGAGGCGTGGTCAGCCCTGACTCATCTTCTCTCCCTGCTGGAGGGGAAGCTGGCCCTGACACATGGGACCCTTCCCCCCCGCTACGCTCTGGTGGGGAAGCTGGTCCTGATCTCCAGCTGCTGCTTTGGGAGTCCCCGCTGGCCCCTTGCTTCTGGTGCGTCCCCCCTGGGACCCCCCTTGCCCTGACTATCGGCGCTCCCTTCTGGGAATCTTCTGATTCGCTGGAGAGGCTCGTGGAATCTCTCGGGTCACTGTCATTCTCCCCTCCGCTGCCCTCAGACTCTTCCCCTTCGCTCTCCATCTCCTCTCTCCCCTGTGCCTCTGCTCCTGAGCCCCTGACAATATACACACACACACACACACACACACACAGTGGTACCTCGGGTTAAGTACTTAATTCATTCCAGAGGTCTGTACTTAACCTGAAAGTGTTCTTAACCTGAAGCACCACTTTAGCTAATGGGGCCTCCCGCTGCCGCTGTGCTGCCGGAGCTCGATTTCTGTTCTCATCCTGAAGCAAAGTTCTTAACCTGAAGCACTATTTCTGGGTTAGCAGAGTCTGTAACCTGAAGCGTATGTAACCTGAAGCGTATGTAACCCGAGGTACCACTGTACACACACACACACACACACACACACACACATATATATATATATATACACACACACATACATATGTTGTTTAGTCGTTTAGTTGTGTCCGACTCTTCGTGACTCCATGGACCAGAGCACGCCAGGCACCCCTGTCCTCCACTGTCTCCCGCAGTTTGGCCAGACTCATGTTTGTAGCTTCGAGAACACTGTTCAACCATCTCGTCCTCTGTCGGCCCCTTCTCCTTGTGCCCTCAATCTTTCCCAACATCAGGGTCTTTTCCAGGGAGTCTTCTCTTCTCATGAGGTGGCCAAAGTATTGGAGCCTCAGCTTCACGATCTGTCCTTCCAGTGAGCACTCAGGGCTAATTTCCTTAAGAATGGATGTGTTTGATCTTCTTGCAGTCCATGGGACTCTCAAGAGTCTCCTCCAGCACCATAATTCAAAAGCATCAATTCTTCGGCGATCAGCCTTCTTTATGGTCCAGCTCTCACTTCCATACATCACTACTGGGAAAACCATGGCTTTAACTATACGGAATATATATATATGCAGGTTTTGGTGTCCTCGGGTGTCTTCCCGTGTAAAAGTTGGGGTGTCAAGGCGACGTTTCGACGAGGTCTCACTCGTCATCTTCAGGCTGGTGCTTTCGGCTTCTTGTTACTGGAACAGAGCAGGATCTCAGTGTTTGAGTTCCTATAAATACTGTTGAGGGGGTGTGGTGTATAGCCTCCAATGTTCTGGGCAGAGAGGAAGTTCCCAGGTTAGTGTGCCTTTTCTTCTTTTGTTCCTTAATTACTTGAGGGATATCTTGAGTGATTTCTTGAGTGATATCCTGAGTACCACTTAGGTGGGTCATTAGGTGTGGATTAGTTGCTAAAGCCTTCGTGTCTTGACCTCTTGAACTTTGTGAAGAGTTTTTCTGAGAAGATGGCTGTACTGCAATTAGTTGTGCTCTGGCTTGGCTTCGTGTATAGGGGCGAGCTGTGGTTTTGTGTCCTGTGCCAGCCAGATCTGTGTAGGGATTGCAGGGGGGTGCAGCATCCGGAGGTGCCACCATGGTTTGGCTACTGGATGGTGTCTGTAATTTATCTGTGGAGAGGGTTTGGGTTTGGGTCTGGTGTGGTTGATTGGTGATGGCGTTCTGTGTGCCTCTGGATCTGGTGTCGGTTTTTGTGGGGAGGGCTAATTTCCAGATGTCTGGCAGGCGGGATGTGTCGTCACGCTTGTTCATGTTGTGAGGGTGTTTCTCTATCTCGATGGCTTCCATGATTATTCTCTTGTGGTGATGTTCCATGTTAGAGAGCAATTTGGAATCTGCAAAATTAATTTCGTGTCCTGTTTCTTTCATGTGTTGGAAAAGAGAGGAAGTTTTTTCTTCTTTTTTGACGGCATTCTTGTGTTCTGCGATACGTGCATTTATTCGTCTGTTTGTTTGTCCAATGTACGTGGCTGGGCAGACTTTGCAGGGTATTTCATAGACCCCTTGGTTTTCCAACTGGATTTTATCCTTGGGGTTTCTGAGGATATTGGCTATTTTTTGGTTGGTGCAAAAGGCTGTTTTGATATTGTGTTTATGGAGGATTTTGCTAATTTTATCTGTAGTGCCCTTGATATAAGGAAGGAGGGCCATGCCATTGTTTTCTTCTGTGTCTTGGTTTTTGGGGGGTGTTTCTTTTTGCATTAGCTTCGTAACCCTGTTTTGCTGGTATCCATTGGCGATTAACACATTGGAGAGATTCTGTAACTCAGTTGTCAAGTGGTCTTTGTCAGCCAGGCGTTTGGTTCTGGAGATGAGAGTCTTGGCTACGGAGTTTATTTGTGCAGGGTGGTGGTGTGATTGTGCATGTAAGTAGCGGTTGGTGTGTGTTTTTTTCCGGTAGATAGTGTGTCCTAGGGAGCCATCAGGTTTTTTGTAGATTAGGACGTCAAGGAAGGGAAGTTGGTTGTTGGCTTCTATTTCCATAGTGAATTGTATTTTGGGGTGTAGGCTGTTGAGATGTGTGAGGAAGCTATCTAGTTTTTCCTTCCCGTGTGGCCAAATTACAAAGGTGTCGTCAACATATCTGAGCCAAAGTTTGGGTTTGTGTTCTGACTTGTCTAAAGCATTGGTTTCAAAGTGTTCCATGTACAGGTTTGCGATGACCGGTGAGAGTGGTGATCCCATAGGTGCTCCTTCTATCTGTTTGTATCTTTGTCCATTGTGGATGAAGTACGTGTTGGTTAGGCAGTGGTTGGTCAGGTCCAGGATGTATTCGGGGGGATTGTATTTGTTTTGAATGGCTGTCAAGGCTTCATTAATGGGCACTTGTGTGAAGAGAGATACAACATCGAAGCTCACAAGTAGGTCATTGGGATGTAGGTTTTGCTTCTTTATTGTTTCTATGAACTGGAAGGAGTTTGTAACGTGTGAAGAGATGGATTCTGCATAGGGCTGAAGTTGCTTAGCGAGAAATTTAGCGAGATTTTGTAGAGGTGAGCCTATGGAGCTGACTATTGGTCTGAGTGGTGTTCCTTCTTTGTGTATCTTGGGGAGGCCGTAGAGTTTGGGG